GAGATAACTCCTGCTGGCTATAAACTGTTACACTGCCCTAGGGGTGATCGTAGAGGTGGAGGTACGGCCCTCTTGTTCAGAGATAACATCAATGTTTCCAAGCTCGAAACTGTTTCAAGGATTTCCTTTGAATCTTCTGAATACCTTGTCTGCACTGGCTCCCTACGCTTTCGATTGGCAATCATCTATCGACCGCCGTACTCTGTTAATCATCCTGTGACTGTGAACAGTTTTATTGACGAATTTTCTGAGTACCTTGAATCTGTTATCCTATCTAACGATGTCCTGTGTTTAACTGGCGATTTTAACATCCATGTTGATGATCACAATGATTCAGCTGCTTGTCGCTTTTTGGATTTATTGGAGTCAATGTCTTTAACTCAACATGTGACAGAACCAACGCATGAACTTGGTCATACACTAGATCTGGTAATTACTCGAAAGTCAGACAACCTTATTAGCGGTCGACCAGCGCCTGACATTCTATTTTCGGATCATCTAGCGTTACTTTTCAAACTGAAAACACCTCGACCACCTCTCAAAGTTGGGCGTGTCTCATTTAGGAAGTTGCGATCAATTGATAAGTCTGCTTTTGCGGATGAAATCTGTAACAGCGAGCTTCTTCAAACGGATACTGAAGATCCTGACGAGCTGGCCGCCTTATTCAACAATACATTGCGTTCCCTGCTGGATCGGCACGCTCCTGTTAAGCAAAAGAATGTTACTATTAGATCTCGTGTTCCATGGATGAATGATGAAATTATATTGGCTAAACGTCAACGGAGGAAAGCTGAAAGGAAATGGAGGGCTTCTAAAGCACACATCGATTTACTATCCTATCGCGCAATGAGAAATCGAGTGACGTTTTTGAGTAACGAGGCTCGTTGTGCATACTATACAAACTTCATAACTGAGAACAGCACGGACCAGAGAAGGTTATTTAGAGCAAGTAAGTCCCTGCTGAATTTATCAAATGGTCCTGGCCTCCCACTGTCGACTAATGATTATCAGTTGGCTAATGATTTTGGAAAATTCTTTGCTCAAAAAATTGCTGATATCAAGTCTGTTATTGCAAACCAGAGCCGCCTTCCTGTCACCATCGACGCTGCCAGTACTGTGACTGCTTCCTGTTTTTCAGAATTTACTCTCCTGTCCGAATCAGAGGTTTTTGATTTAATCAAAGCTTCATCAAAGAAATCTTGTCTTCTTGATCCTATTCCAACCAAACTTCTTACTGACTTCGCCGATGTGCTACTACCTCCGATCACGAAAATAATAAATCTTTCGCTTGATTCTGGTTATTTTCCACGCACCTGGAAAAGTGCTCTAGTAAGGCCGCTGTTGAAGAAGGATGGATTACCTCTTGTTTTTAAGAACTACAGACCCGTGAGTAATTTGGCATTTATCTCAAAGCTGGTTGAGACTGTTGTTGCCAAGCAGCTACAGCATTATCTGAATGGCAACAATCTGTTCCCAGTGTTTCAATCCGCCTATCGACAGAACCACAGCACAGAAACTGCACTCCTTAAGGTTATGAATGATATTCTCCTTAACATGAACAGTCAACGTGTTACTCTGCTTATTCTGCTCGATTTAAGTGCTGCCTTCGACACAGTTGATCACGACACCATGCTACGTCGACTTGAGTCATCATTTGGTATACATGGGAAAGCCCTCTCCTGGTTTACGTCCTATTTGTCTGGTAGAACTCAACGGATAATGATTAACGATTCGCTGTCGGAACCTTTTAAATTAGAATGCGGTGTGCCTCAAGGTTCCTGTCTGGGTCCGTTATTGTTTTCGTTGTATACGAGCAAGCTTTTTGAGATCATTGAATATCATTTGCCCACGATTCATTGTTACGCTGACGACTCTCAAGTTTACATCTCATTCAGTCCCAACGACAGAGCTGAGCAACTTGCTGTAGTGAGGAGTATGGAGGACTGCATCAGAGACATTCGTCTTTGGATGTTGAATAATGATCTTAAATTAAATGACGACAAGACTGAATTCCTTATCATTGGCACATCACAACAGCTGGGAAAGCTCGACAATATCAGTATACGTGTGGGCGACTCAGACATACATCCCGTGCCAATTGCGAGAAATCTTGGTTCCTGGTTTGATTCAAGGCTCTCCATGGCAACACACATCACGAAAATTTGTGCCTCTTCATTTTATTACATTTATAATATTCGTCGGATCAGAAAGTACCTTTCACAGCAGTCAACGGAAACTCTTGTCCATGCATTTATAACGAGCCGCCTGGACTATTGCAATGGCCTATTATATGGACTACCGGACTGCTTGTTGAATAAGCTGCAACGAGTACAGAATGCTTGTGCCAGATTGATTCTTAAAGAACAGAGATTTTGTCATATTACGCCCTTAATTTTTAAGTTACACTGGTTACCAATTAGATATAGAATTGAGTTTAAAATATTGTTAATTACTTTTAAGATTCTTAATTTTTTAGCCCCTTCTTATCTATCCTCTCTTATTTCCCTTAGACCCCCCTCCAAATATAATTTAAGAAATTCCAGTGATAAGCTTTTACTTAGCCATCCATCATTTAAATCGAAAGCTACACTGGGGGACCGTTCTTTTACCTGTGCTGCTCCGAAACTATGGAACGAACTACCGCTGGATATTAGGAGCGCAAGAACAGTAAATATTTTTAAAGCTAAACTGAAGACTCACCTTTTTCGTAGTGCATTTCTATAGCTTTTTTTTTTTTTTTTTTTTTTTTTTTTTTTTTTTATCTCGGTCTATCCATTAATAAAATTATTGTAAGTCTATTTTAATGATAATTTTTAATCTTGTAATGCGCATTTGAACATTTTATGGAATTTGCGCACTATAAATTTTTAATATTATTATTTATTATTATGTTACTCAACAGCTTGGTCAATGTTGCTGATATCACTGACCCTAAGCATGTTGTGTCTGAAACTGTTGAACGATTTATTTTTGTTGTGTCAGCATAGCATCTTAACTTAGTAGTTGAAAGCAACTGAGATAATAATATTGACAAGTTATAAAAAACATAGTCTTGTCTATTCCTACAGTGACGAGTAGCTAAAATGTCCACATCTAAATTAGTACCTCAATATATCCTTTCTCAATATCACTAATAAGTGGCAAAAGAAAAGGATCAATACAGTTTGGCCGTGCATCAGGTAAGTCATAAGATGGCACAAATCCAACTGTGTAAACTTCTCCTGTCTGTAAGCGTTCTTCCTCTGCCATTGTTGCCACTGACACATCTATTGCACCTATTGTAGCTGTAGGTACACAAGATGTCAGTAGGGCAGTTGAAAAAATCTTGCATGTTACACTCCATCATATCTGTATGTAGGGTCTTGAGTCATCAGAAAATATTCGCTTTGATTCTAATTTTATGTTTACCTAATTCTATAAGTTGTACATATATTTGTATGCAGCACATGCATTACTTTTCATTCATGGAGTATCACTAATCATAAATATCAACTAAGATTTTAATGGATATAGAATTTACCTTACCAGTACAGCAAGTCAGTACTGGCAAGTACTCAATATTAGTCAATGTGGAAGGCGTAAATAGTGAAAAAATACTTTCAAATGCGATTTTTTACTTTTTGCCATCAAATATTGTCAATATTGACAATACGTGCCGATATCGGCTCTTGTCCAAGATGAACTTTCCCCCTTCCCCACGACTTTTTCCATTTTGCTCCACTTTCCCGGTTACTCATTGCTTTTAAGTCACTTCAGTCCCTTAGCAATTCTTTACAGAATATTACATAAGAGCATACCATCGATTAGCATGATGTCTTATTTGCATTTCTATTTGAAATATGAAACGCCCCTGGAAAATGTATTTTAGTTGTCGGATACCTAAACATATCACGCTCAATGACGTCATCATGGTAACTGGCGTTATAGGGATACGGGATATTTTGGCCTAAAATTAATGGGATATACGGGATACTCAGACCCTCCCAAAATAATGGACACTGCAAATAAATAAGTGAACGTTGCAAATAAGAAACAAAAAAGGTTGTGTGCGCACTTTCATAGACCCCGCGATCCCTTTGGTCAGCGAGACATTCCCACGCATTTTGTCCTGTACTCCCTTCGCCATTCATTTTCCAAAATCCAATTCCTGATAGGAACAGGCACAACGAAAGTTAGGCACCGTAGTAGGAACAGGTAGGGCTAACTAGAAACTGGCACAGCGTATTAGGAACAAGCACAGCTTATAAAGAACAGGCACAGCGCATTAGGAACAGGCACAGCTCATTAGGAACAGGCACAACGTAATAGGGACAGGTACAGCGTAATAGTGACAGGCAAAGCTTATTACGAACAGGCACAGGTACAACAAAAGAAGCCGAAAGGGTCTTGAGTACTAACTAAGATGTCCCAGTATTATTTGCGGTGAGTTCATGTTCCCAACATTATTGAAGTGGCAAGTAATTTACTACGGTGGCCCACAACTGTAACATCAAATACAAATTGCTCAAATCAAATAAAAAATTGCTCACATCAAAAACAAAACCCTAACATCAAAAACAAATTACTCACATCAAAAACAAATTACTCACATCAAAAACAAATTACTCACATCAAAAACAAATTGCTCAAATTAAACGGTCAGCAGTCGGAGAATGAAAACTATGGTCAGTTTTCACTCGGCTTTGACCCGACCGTCATTTTGTTCCTGCACATGGTACCACTGTTGTCGTCGGGATGTTTTGTAGCAACTGCGGAAGAGATGTCGACAATTGCACTTTTTGTAACAACTGCGGGAAAGGTAAGTTAATGATAACAAGTGACGGTCGACAAAGAAAAAGATAGCGTAGTGGTCGCTCGAAGGAACCGCACTAAAATTAGGAAGTTTAAGATTAGGGAACTTAAGCAATGGACGTTTTCGGGGCGACGGCGACTTAGACCGGAAGTTAAATCATGACCCGTGCATTACTGCGCATGATTTAGCTAACTTCCCAGCCGTCGCAGGGACGTCGGCGACGTGAAGAGCGGGTGTTTGCCGTTGTGGTGAAAACGTGAGTGTTAGCTTTCTGTTTTGGTCATTTTTGTGACCTCTAACAAATGCTATTTTTCGAAATCTTACTTTTGATTTCATTGTTAATATACAGGTGACTTTTTAGCTCGATTTAACTGTTCTTTTTTGCCTTAAATTCGTCCTAACTTGTGAGTTACTCTTCTTTCTAGCTAAACGCATATAATGGCCAACTCAACAAGCACAAAATCGTAAGTGAGAATAACAATTGAATCTGTCTGTAGATTTGTACAAAAATATTCAGCCAGGGTGTACTTTGAACTCATTTCTTTGACCATTTCTATTTATTTTCAGCGGGAAAACAGTAGTTTACAGCGAATTGCGATAGTTCACTTCTCTACTAATACTGAAAGGTTTAGCTCTAAGTATAAACATGTAAACATGTTACAACTGCTTGGTCTCGCTAATTTCACGAGAATGTTATTTTAATACAATTCAGTGAAAAGTTCATTTTTAAAAACCTTTGGAAAGCGAGTCATATTTTCTTGAGAAATCAGTGCCTCCAATAAACTGAACTTTTCTTTAAACGGACATTTATGATTTGAGGGAGCTTTCCAAAGTACACAGCTGGATATTGAATTGTCTTTTTATGACAAATGTTTTTTTTTTACGGTCGAACCAGCCCAAGACTCCATGAATGGATCGATTATTTATATAAACGTTCTAGCTTTCGTTAGTCAGATTTCGAAATTCAGTATTCATGCATGCGTAATAAACAGCTAATTTGTGTCAAATTAAGAATTCGATATTACTGCATCTGTTGGAACTTTCTCCATTCAAAAGTTTGAAAGATTTTTCAATCTAACGAAATTCTGAGATGCTGTAGTTTCTAAAATTCATTGCTAATTACGCATGCAGGAATGCTGAATTTTAATTCTTATAACACAAAAATATGCAAATGATCTAGCCATAAATGGTTGCTATGGGTTTATTCTTGTCCTCGTTCAACTGAAAAATAGCTTTTCATGTCTAGTGTTAGAACTTTTACAATAATTGTTGTAAGGTAAAATTTGTATGTCTCATGGACAACCAGACAATTGCACCAGAATTTTAAATTAGCCTGTTTCTGTTCTCTGTTGCATGTGCAGCTATCAATCACAAATAAACAAAACAATCTTTTTTTGTCTTAATGTTACCTAGAACAGTGATGGAATGGACAAAGCAGCATGACAAGGCTCTTCTGGGTGAAATGACAATCAGTGATCTTTTTCAGTACAAGAAGGGCACTCCAGAAAGGGGTCAATTATGGGATTCTATTGCTGGTAATTTAAATGCAATGGATTACCCAAAGTTTAAAGTTGCAAAACGGTCATGTCGCGATCGTTGGACACTGTTACGCACAAAGTATAAAAGAAGGATGTCAGAAGAAATCCAAGCAACTGGAATAGATGCTGAGGTTGGAGAACTTGATGAAATCATTGAAGATCTTATTGGAAAAGAAGATGCTGCTATTGACAGTGATAAAGAAGGAAAGAAGAAAGCTGAAGCTGATAAAAAGGCAGCAGAAGAAATACGGATTAAGGCTATGGAACGGTTTGGAAACACCAGAAAAAGAGGTGGAGAGGATGGAGAGGAAGGAGCCAAAAAGAAAAAAAGGAGAAGTGGCAGTGATGCAGTAGAATTTCTCAGAGAAAAAGCAAAGTTAGAACATTCTCTGAGAGAGGAAGAGCTACAGTTAAGGAAAGATCAACAAAGCCAAACACTGTTGATATTACAGCAACAACAGCAGATGAATCAAGCATTGCTCACCCTCATGGAAAAAATGTTGCCTAAAGAGAGGAATTAACTGTTAATTACTGTAACTTAATTTGTTGTTGTTAGCCAATGGTGTCTTTTTGAATGGCACTTTGCAGAGAGAGATTTGAATTTATGTTCATTAACTTTCATAGGACAATGGCATTTATGAAAGAAATGTTTATATTTTCATGTTATAATCATTTGAATTTGCTTATTATGATAAATGCCTCTTGGAAACTTTGGTGGCTTCTCATTCATGCAGAAGCTGGTACGAAAAAAGACAAATAAGGCTTAAACATTTTGTTGTTAATTTATTGGTTAAAATTGTTGGACTGTACATGTTGAATATATGTTTATAACAAGTGTCTGAAATTTTGTGCCTCACAAACTCTGCTACACCCAACAACCCTTGACCATGATAGGTTTATATGCATTTTTTTTTTAAATCAGCTGATTGGGAGGGGCTGCTCCTCAGATTTCAAAAGGTAATGTCCAAGTTATTGCATTCCATAACTGTTTCAAATTATAAAATTTCATAAGAAGATAAAGTTCTCTTTTCTTCAACACATCAGCTATGCAAAATAGTCTTGCAGGGTGGGAGGCTCAAGGTCAAAAAATGTTGCAGTATTGTTACCATACAAGCAACTCAAAGCATTTTGCAGAAGTGCACAAACAATGTACATCTTTCCAATACTGCTCATTCCTATCTTGAGATTCTTTTTAAAATCCATGAACTTGAAATATTCTATGATATCTCCAAATAACCACTCTACAGACACCCTTACTGAACTCATTGAACTGTTGTATGCTTCCATCAAGGGAGTAAGGTGGGGGTTCCGGAATGGCCCCTGAAGATGGACTCTTAGGGGGTAAGCAGGGTCGCCATACAAACACATCGGTAGCCCTGTTGCTGAGTAGGCATAGGCTTCCAGGTTGTGAAGTAGCCCAGAATCATGCAACATCCCTGCATCATGCCTCCTACCCTCTAAAGTAAAGAAAAAAAAGTAATAAACTTAAGGTACTTACTATATAGTTCAACCTATAGCTTCCTAATTTTAATATACAGCAACAGAAGTGATAGTAGTGATCTTTTGTTCTTACATTTGTTCCAAACTTCTAAGATCAAGCAGTACTTTTTATATACTGCCATATATAGGCAAATGACTTTTCATTAAATTTTAGCCATGTCCTTTAAAAACTGCATCGGGTTATTCAAATCAATGCTACCCCTATTTTTGCAAACAGTATTAAAGTAATATTGTTCAATGGCACTTACACACAGGGCCAAACATATTTGCAATGAGCCCATTAGGTATGGCAACCGACTGAAACTTGAGAGCATGTACTCTCTTGTGCCCATTGTAAACGATTCTCTGCATATCTCCTGGTTTGGAGATCGGTCGTACGGTACCATCAATAAAGCCAAAACAGTTGTCTAGAGCTGCTCCTTTTTCTGTGATGACAGTGGCATATTGTTCAAGCAATCTGGGATTCAGTATAGTGTCATTCCACTGAGTGATTCGGTGGCCATGTGCATCATAGATAAAATCCATGACTCGGTTCGTGATCATGCACAGTTCAGGAACAGGTCTTCCAAAACGCGCGATCATATCGCTGTAACGACAAGGATAAGCTAACCGTTTTAGTAGCATACACAGTCCTTCCATTCCATCGCATATAGTCCTCTGTGGGCATTTGAAAGTGGGTGGAATCCCGAGTACTTCTCTTAGTGTAGGAAGATCTCTTTTCTCTACGCGAAATTCTGCTTTGCATTCGGCTTCATCTATGTTTTCGAGGTCGAACGGACCATAACTGTCCCAAGGAAAATCTGGGTTGCTTGACTGATTGTTTTCCCATAAAACGAGAAATTCATCATCGGAAAGTAAATTTTCAGCATAACACAGCAGTGTTAATTCTCTCGTTTCTTTAAAAGAAGTCATTTTTTTCTTTGGAAAGCCACTCCGTCGCCGTCTGAATGAACTTGCCGCTTAAACAGTTGAATTTGGCGGGAGGCGACGGCTACATCGGTCCCAGCTTCCCTCTGCCACTCCAGTCGCCGTCGCCCTGAAAACTTCCGTTGCTTAAGTTCTCTATTCAGGACTCGACGGCAGCGAAATCGTCACTTAAAACAGTCCTCGCGATTGTTTCGGGTCGCTTAGTTTGCCAGATGTGGTTGAAACTGTCAAGAGTGAAATTGTTAAGAAATTCGTCAAGTTCAAAAGGACAGACTCTGCGTCCTCCTCAAAACTTAAAAACAGGATCCGAAATAGAACATTTCTCGTCGTAATCATCCCGGGGGGGGCAGGGGGGGGGAAGACTTCCTTCTGAGAGGCTAATGGGGATGTGCCGCTGGATGGGGTCGCATTTTCACGACTGGATTGGCTATAATGGGTCGCGCTCTTTTTTTATCTTAGGGGCAAGACAATTCTCTACAATTACGTTTAGCAAACGTACCAGAATGTTTGTACTGTAGGTGAAAAGTAGGCGATTACAATTCGGCGAAATTCTGCTTTATTCTCTATTTATAAAACACGACACATTTTCGCTATGAACTAATTTATCAATGACTACTATGATGGAATTGCCTTGGTGCTCGAGGAAAATTACATCCGATAAACAAAGAACTTAGTGGTTCACCTTTTTTTAGAAAATAAAAAATAGATTTTGTAAGTGTGGATTGTTACTTATTTTTTTTTCGTATAAATATTTCGTGGAAAAATCAAATATAAGTACCAAAAACCTTAGTGGCTTCGTTGTTACGATGTAATAGAATTGAATTTAAGCGTGGTTTATTATCTTTTTTCCGAGAAATGAAAATTTCAAGCCTGAGAAGTTTTGACAGCTGTCACTCTAATGGACTCGAACCCGAGCGTCTAGCTGGGGAACTGGAAAGCAGAGGTTTCCGCACGTTAGATTCTTTGAAATACATAAAGTCGTCGGATCTCGATGTCCTGTTTCCTTCACCTCAAAAATTGCTGATGGCGGAGAAACGAATCATCGAAAGTGAAATAGAGAAGGCGAAGAGCCTGAAGAGAGGACAGTTACCACCACGAGAGCTTTTTCCCGCTTTACCCTGTAATGTATTGATAGTATTGTTTACAGGAAGTTGTGTTAGCGGAAGTTCTCGGAAATTGAAAATGTGCAAAGGATCATGGATAGCTGTGTGGGCCATGTTTTCCGGGTGTCATGGCGGCCAAATAAAGTGTAGTTTCTTTCTATAGTTACATCTGGTTTATTATACGGCCATCCGGGCGACATCGTTACATACCCAGGCAAGTATCCTATGATCAGACTCCTACATTCACCAGCCCTTCCGCAGCAAATGTTGTTTTTCTCAACAACACCAGCATCAACAAAACTTTTCGTCTTACCGCAAAAACTTCTGAGGAAGTCGCAAGTTCCTACCCAGCCTGCGTCATATCTAAAAAGAAGAGAAGATGATCTCAAAAATGACAATGACTTATTGGCTGCGTAAATTCAAAGTGCTAACGACGTGTTGGAGATGAAAACACGAGAGTTCGAAAATTATGGCTCCGGGAGTACCGAACGCAAAAAGCTGTGCTCAGCCTGTCACCTGCCTGGCCATAATAAAAACAAATGCAGAAACGCTCCATGTAAAGGTATTGACTTTTGTCACAATCGTGACAAACATCCAGAATTCCGAGCAGAGATTTAAGATCTGAGGAGAGTAGTTAAGGAGCTGGAGAAAAAGCAAGAGCAAATTTGATGTGTTTAACGCAGCTAGAGAAAGAACCACAAACAGCTTCTTCAGTGTGATGCAGCCTCGACTGAGGAAACAGAACTACATCAAATATGTTGACAGAAGTGTACTTGATAAGGACTTACTGTTAAGAAGTTAACAAGTAGAAATAAGCGATAATTGTAACGGAAACACGTGGCTTGTGACGTAGTCACTTGCATCCGGGATAGTTGAAAATAGTTGTTGTTGTAGTTTGTGAAGAAAACGAGAAATACATTTTCTTGAAGCGTTATTTGTTTCAATGATTCTCAGTGTGGTTCTTGGGGCACTTATCCTTAAAAAAGCATTAGCCAACAAAATTCCATTGAACGAAGATTCAGAGTGGGAATTGCCCTATATTATCGAGCGTTACAAGCGAGCTAATGTTGACATTCTTTCACTAGTGTAAATGGAAGACCGCATCATTTATACTGCATTATGTTATGTTGAAATGTTGAGTTTACAGTTTACATGTGAATACACAATTCAAGTTGTTGCATTTAAATGTCTGTTTAACTTAAACTTTAGGCGGGAGAATGTTTGGTCGCTGGGAAAGCTTTGACCGACAATTTTACCAGCCGTATTTACCGCATAGTAGCGAAGTTCTACAAACAGATGTAAAGTCGGATATATTCGTTGCGGATTTCCCTTTAGATTTACATTTTTCGGCTTCCGTATTTTTCTGAGGTTTGTTGGTTGGAATAAAGGCCATTTCTTGTTTTCTAATTGTTTATAAATTTTGACCGGTCCGTAAATCCCGAAGTTTGATCGCAGTCGCTTCAGGATACTTGTACTTTAGGATCTGTCGCGTCTGTTCCCACCGCCAAGTTAAATTCAGGAACAAATCTGATTGGCTTTTAAAACCACAAAGTCGAAGTTCTTTGTTAACGAATCAGCTTCTGATTGGTTAAATAACCTTGGGAGGCCCCGGTTGAAGTCGTTGCACTGTAGTTGAAGAACGTCATTAGCATTTGCATAAAAAAGGAATACAACGAGGGTGCCAACAGGGAAGAACTTAAGCTCTATATTAAGTTGACCCCCAAACCTAAAATAAATTGTAAATGAGGACATAATGACATGTGCTAGAAGATAAATTCAAGATAAAATCCAATATGTACACAGTATACTTATTAGTTATTAATAAAAACATCCATCCATAAGAGAGAGCAATTATGAAATACAAAGATACTTCTACAGAAACATGTTTACTCAAAAGAAAATGTTGTAAATATGTATTACAAGGTGTACTTTTCTTTTTTTAGGGGTGAAGAATTTAGAAAGGACTTCATAGATCTATCAGTGTCTTTTTTTCATTTATTGAGGGATTTAAAGCAAAGGCTACGTTTAAAAAATGAGTGTAAAATTGTTGCGCAAAACCCCAACCGGGTAAACAGATACCCGAATAAGAAAGTGTGTCTGAGTAAACACCATGGGAATGAAGGTTATGATCGAATCCTTGGACCCATTGCACATGAACTAACAATTCAAAGAGAAAACTACCCAATGACAATTGTCTACCTTAAACTAAAAAACTGTGGAAATGCTTATGGATCATTTGAAAGAATATTGGGAGACAAGCAGTATGTTGGAGAAACTTCAGAACCCCCTGCAAGACTGTTTGCTCAATTTCATGCCCCCCAGACAAGTCGCATCAAGAAAGATATATTATCAGGAATAAAGAATGAAAATCCGAGGATGAGGGTGCTCTTTGCAACATCAGCACTTGGCATGGGGGTTCATGCTCCTTATGTGGTCAACATTATTCACATAACACCACCAAGTAGCCTTGAAGCATACATACAAAAAATTGGTTGTGCTGGTCGCACAGCACTTTCATCGTATGCTACACTTTACTACAATAATTACGATATTGGAAATAATATGAAACATGTAGAAGAATCAATGAAAACTTATTGCAAATCACAAGAAACCTGTCAGAGGAAACTTCTTCTGGATTACTTTGGATTCTCCAGTGTTCAATAAGATAACTGTTGCTGTATATGTGGTGGAAAGTTCAAAATAACTGAAGAGGATCTATCTCATGCTGCCCAACAATAACAGTGTCATCATTGAAAGATTAATCAGGAATGCAATTTCTGCCCAAGAGTCCCAAGCAGCATCAGAGAGTTCCATGCTATATATAACACTTCTGTAGATAACGATCTGGTTGCAAAATTTATGGAGGGAGTGGAGTATATTGAATCAGAAACAGACCTATTGAGGACCTTTGATATCTGGGATAAAATCTGCTCCTCTCAGATCTTTTCGCTTATATGCGTGCACACTACTCTGTGTAAAACCGTAATGAACTCTGATGATGATTAGAAAATCAATATTTATTATAAATATTGGAAACTACTACAATGTATCTTGATTCATACCAAAATCAGTATTGATATTGATTATCTCTGTTGTTATTATGATGCTGATCAGTTTGTTTACCTTTGTTTTTTTTTTGTCTGAGCACAATACTATGATGAGAACATCAACTTAAATTGTAAATCCTGTGAGCAACTGTAAATATATCTTAATTCACAAACCAAAAATCACTACTGATATCAATTATCTCCATTGTTACCATGATACTCATAAGATTGTCTACGTTTTAAAGTTTGTTAGTACACAAACTTCACATGGATCTCTGAATCACGTATTACTGTTGTTGGAAATTTGCTGACATTTTGCAATAGATCATTGGAAATAATCACACTGTTCTAACCAACCAGCCACCAATGACAATTGGATAAGTCTGCTGATAAGTACCCCACATATTTTCATTAGAAACAGGACCTTCTGTCACATTGTAAAAGCTGAAATAATTCCACATTTTACCAAGATACTTGCAAGACTCAAGAAAAATTCTACTAAAAATAATTTTGGCGCATTCTGCATATCGTTTCCATTCAGGTACATTTAAGGAAAAAATTGTATCGAGGGAAATCTTTAATGTTTCCTTTAGGGTTGTCATTAGGCTAGTGGTTGAAGTTAATTTGGTTCTCAATCAAGTTACTGGCAAATAAGTGCAGATCCTCATTTTGAATTTCCTTTCTAATGTGTCCTTTCAAAATTTTCAAGTCCCAATTGTCACCAGTACCTCGGAACACAGTACCTCTCTTTATTTTCTGCACCACTTTGTCTGAAAAGTGACCCCATAAGAGCTTCAGCAGGGTGTCCCTTCTCCCAGATGACAGGCACACACCAAGTTTGTTCAGTCGTTCTTGAAGCTAGGGATTACAAGGGAAGCAGAAATTAACTACACATGCACACGCAGTAACCTAAAATTTCACAACTTCATCATGAATATCACTTACAATATTTTTCTGGATGAATCTTTCAATTAGAATCACAATCACAACCTACCTGACAAAAACTACCTCACGATAATAAAATTTCTGCAGAGCTTTGTATAAAAAGAGGATAAAACGCAGTTTGTATTCAATGCATGGTTACACTGGTGAATAATAAATACTGCACTGTGACTATGACAATTGATTAAGGACAACAATGCAATGTTATATAGGTATCATTAGCTGGGAATTACCTTTTTGGTACATCCACCTTCAATGATGAGAACTGAATTCACACGTTTCACCAGGTTGAGTTCGTGCCATCTCTCGTTCATGAGGATCGAGTACAGAAAACTGTACTTTACTTGAAGCTCGCGCTTTGTTTCTGCGGCGGACTTCTCCTTGCCAGACACTGCGTTCATAATCTCGACAAGATAAAGGTGACTCGTCTTCAATTCAACCCAAACTTTATTTAAATCGAAGTTATTCATGCTTTCAAAGTCATTTCCATATATTTAGCTGGGGAACCTGAGGTCTGCAGATATAATATACTTCAAAAACATGGACTAAACATACTTCAGTGCATTTCTCTACATGTTGCATGAGAATAATTTCTCAGCAGGGTTAGAAAGTTGTCCATGAATGGTAATCCATGAATCAGAGTGTCTGAGAAGGAATATGTTGCATTATTTCTGGGATTTCTTCGACAGTCTTTACAAACAGAATTCCAACCTAGAGTTGATTTGAAAATGTATCTAAACAGCTGGACTACACAAACATGTTATTTTAAGTGGGATAGATTGTAAATTAAAGAACAATATAAGAGAAAGGCCAGTTTCAGCTAAAAACACGTCGACAGAGCTGGCATCTTTGTAAACAGCGATTTAGCACTTGAGAAAAATAAACTCAAAAACTTTACCTAAAACGGTGGTTTGTTCACTTAACAATAAACGGAGGTTTGAAAGCAATTGGAGGGTCGTCGTTTCCGCTTAAAGTCTTTCCTTCAATTGGTGCAGAGGAACTTTTCAGGAGAGGAGCCGAAAAGATGGCAAAGTTTAACAACGACTGAAGCTTATATGGTGTCGGTAGCTTTTACGTTGCTATATCCTGATAGAACCAAAGTGAAGTGCCTTCCGGGGGAACGGAACCGTTTACACTACAACGATACAAGGAGGAATTAGGGAAGGCTTCCGACCGAATTATCTTATACCTCTGCAAAATAACAGCTACTACGGATGCTTTGTTTTTGAAATCGTACTACAGAGATGAAAGTGATATCAGTTTGCCAACTTACGAAGAGGTATGAAGATTTTAGTTACTACCATAGATTGCAGTATTATTTTTCGTAATGAAAAAGTTCTACGTGGAAATTAAATAGATCTAAATTTTGATTGATGTACATGTTGTAGCTCAAATTTTCCTTGTTCTGATATATTTCAGATTGGTTTGATATTTATCTTTCTTTGATTCAGATTGTGGTAATATGCATATTAAATCATTCCAGAATCAATTCTCTTTCATTTTTCTCAGTGAGTGGGGGGTCAAAAGATTCTTTTGATTCCACTGTTGTGATGATAATTAATGATTCAGATTTCATACTTGAACAGGAACAGGAACAGGGAACAGGATGCAAAGTAAATAGCTGTAGGTTGAGCCATACTATCACAAGCACATTCCTCCCAGCCATCACTCACACAGGTACTACCCCCTTAGCAACAAGCATCCGCAAGCATAAGCAAGAGAGGAGACGCAAAGAGAATGATCCCTCACTTTCTGAGAGCAGTGACTCCAGTATGAGTGTCACCCTTCGAAATCAACAGAAAGAAAAAACTAAGGAATTAAAAAGCCTACTTCACTGATGGTAGGCGTGATACTACATGTATGTGTCAGTGTTGATTTTAGTTCCTTCAGTCAAATGACACTTAACCCTTTGCTACCTAGTGACGCTGTCGGGAACCGTGAACAATGCCTTAAGTCGTTTTTAGTTTCGCTATTGTTGTTTTAGTCATGACCGGAAATGTCTCCAATCAATCAATTTTCCAGAATGTACTTTGTGCTCCGAGGTATCACGTTTCTTTTTCTAGTTGGTTGAGAACATCCTGCACGCGGTCGAGTTGTTGTTGATGCTTTAGTTATACCTGGATTGTATTCGTCGATTAAAAGAGTTGATTAATCAGGGAACGTGTCTTTGGTGCGTTTTCGACAACGCATATGTGTGTCGATGAATACCAGCCCTCTTATTTTGCTCATATCTTCCCGGCAGAGTAAGCCTACAGCTAAAGCAATTTCCAAAATGGCGGCTATTACAAAAATATTGAATCAGAATTGAAAACTTGGTTGATTTTACTTGCTTTTACGGTCTAAATAGGGTTTTTTCCCGGAGATCGTGACGGTTTGCAAGTTTAATTAAATATGGCGGCTCGTGCAAGTGATAGTGACGCATTATCTCGCCAAAATATGGTTGAAATTGAATATGGTTGAAAATGCCGACATTCCCAGGCCCTGTGAAGCCAATCAAGAAGAGAACGAGTGGTCAAGGGACATAAATATTAGTTGCGGTTCCACTAGAGCTTTTGCCCACGGGAAAGTAGGAATTTACCCACGGGGAGTCTGTGTTTTGTGTGTGACCGATATTCCCACAGTGAAACTGCCCACGGGAAATCACTATGGATACATCAAAAAGAACAAAAGAATTACCCATGACATTCCCAGAACCAAGTAGTAGGGTTTAGCCTTGGTTTATCTAGCCACAAGAGTAGTTCAACCAATCGGATGGAAGAAAATTGCAAATACAGGAAACCGCAGCACATGCTGGGCACATTTTTGCGGTGCTGAACTGAATTCGCGGCAAATGCTCTGGCACGTACCAAATTCGGGACACGCGGTAACAAGCATGGCAAACTTTCGAGGTCCAAAGTGAGTGTATTTTACTCGTCTTTTCTCAAATACCCTAATTATCTGAGTTCCTTTAGTGCGGCATAGTTTTGTAATTCTTTTTTTTTTCACAGCAACTTTAGATCAGACGATGGTGAGGAAGATGCACCGTTGTACAATGGTTATTTATTTCAGAGAAGTCGAGAGCAAGAGAGTTATCAAAATCAACCAGGAGCGTACTCTCCATATCCGTATTATTTCACTAGCAACCCAAGAATACCTTACCAGTACGTTCCTCAGGAGGCTCCGCGATCTTGTAGCCCAATCAGCAGTTCTCAAGCTGACTTATCTGGTGAGAAGGGTGTCACAGAAAAGAGCAGGCGTACAAGCTGGGAACATGCAGAAACACGAAGCTTGATTGCAGCCTACCGGGAAAATTACGATCGTTTAAAGTCCACAAAGAGTAGCCATGGCAAGAAAAGCGTATGGGATTCAATTATGGCAGATTTTGTTAGTTTCTGCTGCGACGCCGGCATAGAATCAGAGAAAACACTAGCCCAGATTAAAGAGAAATGGCGCTCTTTGTTCGACAAATACAAAGCCGTCAAAGATAACAACAACAAGAAAAGAAGGGACCGTAAGACCTTTGAGTTTTAATATGAGATCGATGAGTTCATGTCAGGGTCCGACAAAGTGAACCCGAAATTTGTCAAGGAGACAAGAGTAATGCAAGTGAGGCCACAGGATTCCGCGACGAATTCCGAGAATTTAGAATTTAGCTACTGTCACTACTGCTGATCCAACAACAGTCGCTGTTGGGGAAAAGCCCAATGAGAAAGAGGATTCACCCTGCCCACCAAAAAAGAGGAAAAAGAGAGCAAGCCTTGATGGAAAAGAGGCAGAAAGTACCATTCTGAATCTCATGGAGGCACAACAAGCAGCCATCGAGAAAGCAGACGAGAAAGACCAGCGGATGTTCGAGGCTTTGTTAAAATTCCAAAGCGACTCTCAACAAAGGCACCAGGAATTTACTCTTTCTGTCTTGGGCAAACTGGGCGAGATTTTCTCTTCAAAAAAAATAAAGAATTTTTTTCTTTACGGTATACACAACTAAAAAGCAATTGTTCAAGTTGTAGTTTTCTGTTTTAAAGGACATTGAACGTGAATTTTAAACCATTTTATACACAATACGACAAACGAACTCTCACGTTTTTTTTATTAATAGATTTAAGTGTTACGAGGAAAATTCATGTGATATTATTTCTATATTTTAATGTTCACATAATTTCTTAAATGCTGCCACTAGGCATGGCCATGTTACAGTTTTGCGTCAGTTATAGTTCAGAACATTCACGAGAAACGTGAAAGCTTGTATGATTATTATTAAACCCGGGAATTCAGTTTTGCTCTTTTAATGAAAATTTTAATAAAAATAGAGTTTTACAATCAAACCTTGTGATTAAATGGTGAGAAAAGGGTAATCAGGGGGGTGGTTTTACAATATTGAAATTATAAAGGGCCAACAACAGAAACATGGTCTAGCGTTGATCAGTTACTTGCAAGTAAACCGGGCTCCTCTGTTTTCATTTTCGGCGGCTGTTCATGAGGTGTTTACTATGGAAGGCCTTTACACTAGTGTCCATACTACCTTATTTTATTACGGAACAGAGAGCATCACTGAAAAAAAAAATTATTGATTTGCTACAAATTCAATTACAGCCAGTCGAACACCGTTTGCAGCCTGGCTGGGAACTCCATTGTCATCATCATCGTCATCATCGCTATCGTCCTCGACATCTCCATCAAATTCTTCCCCTCGAATAATACAAATGTTGTGAAGTACACAGCATGCTATGATGGTGTTTGAGATTCTCCAATGATCCTCATCCAAGCGCTTCAGTAGTGCTCTCCACCTACCCTTTAACAAACCAAACGCATGCTGAGAAACTATTCGTGCTTTAGAGAGTTCCTTATTGAACTTCTTCTGGTCTCGGTTAAGGGCTCCATTATCTTTGATAACCGGTAGAAGCCAGGTCTTCAATGGGTACGCTGAATCTCCCAGCACAAGTGGGCGAATAACGGTTCCCCCCAAATCTAGGGTAGGTTCCATGAGAATGTCCTCGTTTTCGGCGGCCCAGTACACATCGCTTAGTCGCAGCATTCGAGAATCATGCAGACTCCCGGGAAACCCAGTGGCAACAGATGACAAGAGTCCCGAAGAGTCAACAATCCCTTGTACTAAATAACTGTAAAAATGTTTCCGGTTAAAGTAGTCCTCGTGATTCTCTTTTGGTGCTTTTATAGGAATGTGACTACTGTCAATCGCTGCAACAACATTCGGAACCTTGCTCTTCTCAGAGAAACCTTCAATTTTCCTGCTTATTTCCGCCCTTGTAGAAGGAAACTTTATGAAGTCATCCTGCAGACGGCAAATTGCTTCTACAAACTCATGACAGCACTTAACCACTGTAGGTTTTGCCAGTCCGATCATCAGTCCACATGAGCGGTAGCACTCGCCAGTCGCCAAACGCCACAAGCTCACAGCCACTCGCTTTTCAACTGGAATAGCGTCACGCATTCTAGTGTTTTGTCGCGCTATTGCTGGCCCTACCAGCCTACAGATATACTCAAAAGTAGCCCGAGACACGCGGAAGTTTTCCTTCCTCCAGCGATCGAGAGCTCTGCTGTTTAAAAGTTCCTGGAACCAGTTCTGCGGACGAGGAAATACCCAAGCACGTCTTGGCCGGCGAGCAACTTGCAGGCGACGATTTCTATAGAACAAATACAACATCTGGAGTGATTGTAAAAGTCGTAATCGCAGACGCCTTCTACGCATTCGTCTTAGAATGAAGTTTTGGATCGCTGAATCAACCGGATATTGCCGTATAAGAAGAAGAAGAAGAAGAAGGACTGAAAGGAGACCATACGTCTCGCGGTTTGCGATCTCCATAATGCATTAAATTTCCCGCCAAACACAGCGAGGTCAAACGTTCACCTCGGGCAATATTTTGCAATGTAACCGGAAAATATTATCTAACCGGAAACCCAAGCTGATCCCATACCAAGCCAATTTCCCCTTGGGAAACCGTGGGCAGAACGTAAGTGTAACCACAACTATTGGAGATGATGTTGCTTTTGATCAACCTGTTGGACTGACAATTCAGCTTCAGGATAGGCCGTGGACTATTCTCTATTATATTTTATCGAAGCCGATTGGAATCTGATAGTGGAGCAGACCAATTTGTACGCTCAGCAGAAAAGGGGCCCTGATGGTAAGTCAGTGTGGTATCCAGTAACAGTTGATGAGTTCAAAGCTTGGGTGGCTATGATTCTCAACATGGGAATTGTGCAAAAACCAGCTCTACATCTTTAATGAAGAAGAACATCAAGTATCCCAACTACATTCTTCCCATCCATAATGTCCAGAGACAGGTTTTTGCAGATAATGCGTTATCTGCACTTTAAAGATAACCAAGAAGAAGTGAGAGACAAAAATTCTTCAGATTATGACAAGCTATTCAGGGCAAGTAAGCTTTTAGATTTTTTGTTGCCTAGGTTGTCAGAAGTTTACAACCCGGAGAGAAATTGGGCAGTTGTGGAACTCTGTTAAATTTCAAAGGGAAGATTTACTTCAGCCAATCTATCCCAATCAAGCCTAGCCGCTTTGGCTTCAAATGGTTCACTCTAGCTGAGTCAAGTAGTGGGTATGTCCTTGTCAGTAAAATTTAAAACAAGGGTTACGTGTTATTTAATAGATAATTACTGAGGTTCGCAGCATTATACCCAATAATGCTGCGAACCGAAGTAATTAACTATTATAATTATTGACCCTCATAAAATCCTATTGTTCTCTCTCTGCATTACATCGACGATTTCAGTCGCCCCTTCATATTGATGTTTTGGTACACCAACAATGCAACTGGCAAGCATTGTCCAGTAATAATACAAATTGCATAATCCTTTTTCATTCCCCAATTCAGCCATTGTTAACTACTTGCAAAGATGATATAATCATTAACTCTCATGAAATCCTACTATTTTCTCTCTCCAACAATGCAATTAGCACGTATTGTCTAGTAGTTATACAAATTACATAACCCTTTTCATTTCCCGGAATTTAGTCATTGTTAAATCCTTGTAAAGATTATGTAACTTTCCACATCTTTCAGGTGTGTGATTGAATTTCATGCAAACGTAATTTGCATTGTATATTAACGCAATGCACTTGGTTATTTGAGTTGTTTGTTGGAAGGCAAAGAGTTGCTACTGTTTTGAAGCATGATGGAGGATTCTTCGGAAGACGAATCTGCCATTTTCATAACGCAGAGCCAGAGGTCGGAAAATGCCGCTGCCGTTGAAGGTAATTACGCTTTAACTTTTTGGGGGTCATTTTTAAACGACTAAGAAAAGCTTTCCTTGTATTTTGTTATTGTTTATAGAAGAGCAAAGATTCAGAAAACCAATTACGTCTGTTGAGTGTGAAAAATTTGAAGAAAGTTGGGTGTCAGACTCAAGTCGTCGAAAATGGGCGTGGGTGCTGAAAGTCTTTGATCAGTGGATGGTTGAGAGAAATAAAGCCGTAAATGAAATGAGTTATAGTAGTGAACCGTTGATAAACGAGAATCTAGATGAAATGTCTGAAGAGCAGCTGGATTTTGTCTTGGCTCGATTTATTGCCGAAGTTAGAAAAGAAGATGGACAAGAATATCCAGGAAAGACTTTATATGAAATGATAAGTAGTATTCAAACGTTTTTACGTGTGAAATGTAAGAGAAATGTAACTTTGATTGACATAACAGGTTATAAATTTAGAAGTTTGAATTCAGCTTTGAATTTTCAAATGAAAGAAAAAGCTGGGCAAGGAATAGGCTTAGTTGTCAACAAGGCTAATCTTATTACGGAGGAACAAGAAAACTATTTGTGGGAAAACGGGTTTTTAGGGAGCGACAACGCAGAGCTGCTTTGCCACACTTTGGTCTGGGTTTTTGGCATTCAGTTTGCTCTAAGGGCTGGGCAGGAACACAGGAATTTGAGATTTAAAAACTCACAGTTATCGCTACAAAGTGACGAATCGGGTAATGAATTCTTACAGTATATGGAGGATATCAGTAAAACTAATAATGGCGGTTTGAGCCATTTGCGTATCAAAAGGAAAGTTGTTCGGGCATATAAGAACTTAACCATGTAGAGCGTTGCCCAGTTGAGCTGTATAAGAAATACGTATCTCACGTGCCGAAAGAAATCAGTGACAACGCATTCTATTTGCGGGCTTTGCCAAAGCCAAAAGGGGACGTATGGTATTATAATAAAGCTAAGGGGAGGGAAACGTTAGGGAACGTAGTTAAGAATATTATGCGAAGAGCAGGTTTTGAGGGGCACTTTACAAATCATTCCCTTCGACGAAGTTGCGCCACACGATTGTACAAAGGGGGTGTGCCAGAACAAGTTATTGTAGAAACCACTGGTCACCGATCATGTGATGGGGTTAGGGAGTATCAGTGTACCTCATCAACACTTAAAAGGAAAGCAAGTGAAATCTTGCAGGGAGTGACTCCTAAGAGGGCAGAAATAGACGTCAAGGAAAAAAATGAAAAACTGTTTAACAATGATGTTGAGCAAAAATATGATGGACGAAGGGAAGAAACAGGGTTACAGGGGTTAAGCGAAAAGGTTTTAGACGAAAACCAGAGCGAAGATTATAATCAGTCAGTTGTAATTAGTACTCACAGTACGAAAATTGTTATTTCTTACAAGTGAGAAAGACTGTCATTGTCAGATGTGCCCTAAATAAACTGTAAAATGTTTTCGTCTGTACGTCTCCTGGAATGGTACTTCTCATGGTGTAACTTCAGATCTTCATCATAAATTATGCGCGGACATTCGCGAATTTTCAAAAATTACTGAGTGGAAAAGTAACGAAGTAAATACCACAGTCATGCAGCAATATTAAAAATATTGCTGGAAGCAGGCTGCATTATTAAAAATATTGCAGTGCAGCCAGCCCACTGCAATATTGAACGTTTTAGCGCGTTTAGGATTACCCCTGATAATTTCCCTGCTACCAAAAAGGACCGCCACCGTTTTCCTCAGACAGTTGGACTTGACTGAATATGAATACTTTCTCAGGCTGAAATCGCCGATATAATGCTGAGAGAGAAGAATAGGATTTTATGAGGGTCAGTAATTATTCATGGATAACTACTATTCTTTAGTCCCTCTGTTCCAAGAGCTTAGTTCACGAGGCACACTTGCTTGTGGGACAGTCCAATCGAACAGGAAAGGGCTTCCAAAAGACATAACTAATCCAGGCAGTGGAGAAGTAAAGGGCTTGAATAGAGGAGAAAGCCTATATCGGCAGAAAGATGCAATTACATGTGTGGGCTAGAAGGACAGGAAGATGGTTCCTAATCTCGTTAAAAACTAATTTTTAAAAGTGGGCCACGAAATACATTGACATGTTGAGTTATGTAAGTTTCTTATTGAATTCCAAAGTAAACTACTGTAAAACATAATATATCGGTTTGTTCAATTTTGTCCTACTAGTTTTTTTGGCAACTGCCATTGTATCAAGTACATTACGAAGATGTTGAACTATTAAAACTTATTGTAGTGTTCAACTTTGCAACTGGTTTATGACACTAACCGAAAGGACCCCACAATTCACTTTCCCTGAATATTTCTGTACAATCAGTATTGATTATTACTAGTTTACCGGTAAATTGTGGAGTATTTTATTACACAAGGAAGAAATGTCTGGAAATCACTGAAACCAACAAGCACCCCGTCATTCTCGTCGGCAACATGGGCTTCAAACAGAACATGAAGAGATATATGAAAACTGTATGATTTGCCTGATGATGGTCAATATTTATTTGCGGAACGCCACCGATACTCCCTGCTGTTGCAAACCTATACACTGTGCACGTCTTCAACAAGTGGAACGTACTGGTACGAATTGTGCTTGTTGTCGTCATAGTTTTGTGTCCATTCCGATGGAAGGATTAACACAAGAAACACTTGAAGACCTTGTCACGATGGTCGGTTGCTATGTAAATTCCTCCCGTTGCTATCTTAGAGGTCACGTGATGACGCGTTCACGGCTTGAGCTGATTTAAGGCGTCAAGCTAAAGGGCTTTTTTCAGTCGTTTATTTTACATTGGATAAAGCTTACCAACCTTTTTTTTTTTCATATTGAATGACTATGGCCTTTCACTTATGGCAGAAGAAAGAAAAAATCAGGTTTTTTGAATGACTTCTCCACGAAACGACTCGTCTAAGATAGGTGTGCTACCGGCTAGCAACGGGTTTACAGAAGCCAATACGTCAACACAACCGCTGTGATTTCTGTATTTCTAGAGTCCTGGTACTGAGAGAACAATTTTTTACTTAGGGGGCTCCACTGTTAAGACAAGCGCAGAACAAAAACGAAGAAAATACACCCAAAATACCTGTCCTCCTCCCTGAAAAGTATAATTTTGACCGTTTAGTTACCGAGCGTGCCATAAATCGAAAGTTGAAAGTGGACTTTGGTGTAAATGGCGTCGTTTTCGCCGATTTCTTCGGAGGAATCCAGGTAAGAAAATGTCCTGTAAACTCGATTTTCTCCGTTGATCAGTTTAGGCTGCCATCTTGAATTTCCTCAGGCTCAATGTCGAGTGTTTTATTTCATCTGTAGCCCTGAAAGAGACCGTAAATGTTGCGGAAAAAGCCGAAAATGCAGCAAAGGGAAAGGCCATGTGGGCAAATGTGATTCGAAACGACAAGTAAATCGTTTCTGGGAAACATCGCCCATTTTTAACATTCATAAGGAGCGCCAAACGCTCCAAGACAACTTTCGCCATCTTCAAGTCCAAGAAGATGCTTTATCCAAGAAGGAGCAAGATATCTTGGCTTTACAAAGGGAGACAGATTCTCTAGTGGAGGAATCAGGTTAGTTTCCTACTTGTAAGTGGGTTAGTTGCGGCAAGATAAACGGAATTGATTATTATTTATTCATTTATCTGCCGTTTTGGAATTGTCATTATTTTGATGATGATTCCCTATCCTTGTTTATAAAAAGAGCACTGCAAAAATCAAAAGGAGAGAAAGAGACACTAGACAAAGAAATAAGTGAAGCAGAGGAGACACTGAGAGAACTAAAGGAGGCATACGAGAAAGTGAAAAAGCTGCTGGAGCAGAAGGATTATTCCCGAAGACGAAGGAGTGCTGCTAGCACATCATATGAAATGATTAATGATTATAAGTCGAGCACTAGATATAGGAGAAGGGAAGAAACTAAAAACATTTTAGAATTTATTCATGGGGGTTTTGAAGCTTCATTGTATGGGGCATGGGATTTTTTGGCTGCCAATGCAAGTAATGAAACCATGACCAAATTAATGAGTAGTTATAAGAGGGGCCGATTTCTTCAGGGTATTTTTGAGAGAGCCATTAATGATTTTCAGAAGTCAGAAGAAGTACTGAAACAGTCTGTGGCACTTAAATATCAGAGTTATTTGTCTAGAAGAAAGTATAATCTTGTCTGTAAAACACAAAGTTCATTTTTTAATGCTGAAAAAGAAGTCTGGCTGCCACGTAACATTAAATGTCTTGGAGTTGACTTAAGGTTACCCAAGCTCAGCTTCTCAGATGACAATGTTGACAAGTTCGTGAAAAGTTTAGACATTGGTCATGTCACACAGATCCCAGGGGTATCACGTGTTTCTCGCACAGTCACTGGCCTGGTGTTTATGATTATTGATTTGCACTTGAGAGTTCCCCATCTTTCTCGTAAACTTGTCTGGTTCAATGAAAATGAAAATCATTTTATTTTTCAGTTCTCAGATGATGGAGCTCCTGAAACAAATGAGCTGACAATGTCAATAGGAAGTATGGTGTGCTGGAACTTTGGAGATCAGGTACGAAGTAGGGACTTCCAGTACCTCCTCCACTGTGTAAGTGTAAAAGAGAAAGATCAAATAATGCATGACCTCTGGAAGCAGCACACTGAAGAGATGAAAATGTTGGAAGGTAATGTTTTGACTGTATGTGATATGGAGTGCACTGTTGAATTTCAGCCAGGAGCAGACATGTCCTGGCAGAGCTGGGCTGCCAATGAACTCAACCAGGCAGCTACATATCCTTCCCCATATGCAAATGTTCATAAAGGAAACATGAACACTATGGGGGGTAGTATTGGAATGGGTAAAGATGACACCTGGAAGCCTTACACTATGGAAATGAGAACCTCTAATACTGAGAAGGTAAACAATTTTATCACCTCTCTTCCCCCAAACCTTTCAGAAAAAAATAAAAATTCCAGAAAGTTGCAGTTTATGGCTGAAAATGGCATCCGACAGTTAGGTCTACCAAGGATTGGGCATTTTGCAGACAAGTTAAGGCCAGAACCCATGCACTGTGAGAACAATGCCTGGCAGCATTATATTGATCTCCTATATTTAGAGGCAGTAAGAAGAGGAAAGTTTGATCCTTTTGTTTCTGCCCTGGCAGCACCTATAGGGAATAGAGATGGAGATGTTAAGGAGGGACAACCCCAAAAGACTCTTTTGAGGGTTTCTGATATAGACAGTGTTGGGGAGCGTGCCAGAAAGCAGGAAATGTTGCAGAAATCAGAGGAGGACCTAAAACAATACCTGCAGAAGACAGGTTTTCCTCATGTAAGGCATGCAACAGGTGAGGGGGGGGTGTGGACTGGGATACTTGGCTTCAAGAGTAAAAGAACATTTTAGTGATGAAACTAACAGGTATAACAAATTACCAGTTAGGCTTATTGGCAATCAAGCTATTGCATTGGCTCGATATTACTACCGTTTAGTTGACACTTTAGAAAATGAAGATGAAACAGAGGCACAAACAATCCAACGACTGGCTCTTAGCAAGATAGGTGTATGGTGGCCGAGAACTGCCAATAGAAAAATCCGCATTTTTGAAAGAATATTGTTTTCTTTTTTATTTTGATTTACATTTTTTTTTATTTTTCAATTTATTTTTTTATTTTTAAAATAGAGTGAAAGTAAAATCAATTGAAATAAAAATAAAATAAAATAAAACCAAAGTAAAATAAAATAAAACCAAAGTAAAATAAAATAAAACCAAAGAACCAAAGGACCATCGAAGGAAAGATGAACTGACAGTTCAACGTTTCTCAGCAGAAGTTTCTGGAAAGGCCCAAAAGTATACAAGGATTGGGCCAAGAGAGTTTGTTCCCTTCGACGAAACGGAGGAATTGACCATTGGTAATATCAAGAGCGCTTGTGAGAGGCATTTTCTACAAAAAATCGGAAAGAATCTCGTATGTGATATCTTAGCAGGAGAACAGGGCCCATCGTGCAAGACTCTTGCCCAAATGCCGGACTTAAAGGTTGTATACGTCCGCTTCATTCCAGATCCAGCTGATGAAGGCGATGTCAACAGCACCCAGAATTCCACGAGAAAGAGGAAGGACGCAACTGGAGAGTCCTCGACTTATACCGAATTCTTTCAGTAATTCTTTCCACCATCTTTCGATCTAGAGGAAAACGTTTTTTTAAATGACATTTTGTGAAATGTGCATTTGCCGGAAATCAGATGATAGGGTGGATTAAAATATTACTTGTTACTGAGGGAATGATGAAATAACAAACAACAATAATACTTTTCCTGGCACTCAAATAAAGTCACCGAAAGACTCGTTGACTAATTTGGCACACTCACATAATATAATTAGACAGCACTTGAGAGATGAGCTTACTTACTTGGTTTGAAGTTGATGGACCATACAAAATTGTGTCTGCAGGATCCACAACGTCAGTGTGATGTCTACGAAGAAAGGCATGAATTGTGGCCATGGTGCCTGTTTCTGTACCTTTGTCGATTCTGATCATCGCAGGAATTACCTTGGTCTCCATTATATGCTCCAAGTACCAACGACCAATCAATTGCGGGTCACAGTTCTTATTCCAAACTCGCAACCATAGCAGCTTTCTGCTGGCTGTATCTAAGCAGCCATAAATAGCAATCGGAAATGTGGAATTTTGGAAACCCATTAATTTATCATGACCGTCCAGGGAGTGGACCCAGTTTGGTCCTTTCGAAGAGAAGTTTCCTTTCTTTCGCCTTGCCTTCTTAGCTCCAACGCCTCCGCGAGCAGCAAGTCCATCGGGGTCAAGATCAGACATCACATCGTAAACATGATCTCGCGTAACTAACAAGTCATATTTTTGTCTTATTTTCTTGTGCATGCTTCTATATCCCAATAGCTTTCCTGGTCCTTCCAATTCCTTTTTAACAGCCTCTTTAACATCTTCAACCGAAACAGTGTCATCCCTGTAATAAACTTCGAAATGGCGTAAACGTCTGTCGAGTGTTCGGATACTCCAGGCGTATTGAGGAAAGTCTCTCCGTAAAAAATCGATCGCTTCTTCGCGTTTGAGGCCTTGTTTGACATAATTCTGCAGTGCACCTTTAAGGAGATCGTCTTCTTTCCACGATGAAACCCTGCTATCCGCCATTTTCGAGAACAGCCCGGGAGAACAGTCCCTATATTCCCGCCATTTTGGATCTTTACGATGCACGCAATGCATGCTGGTAGTGGCAGCTCTCGGCTGGGTCGAATAATTTCATTTTATTTTACTTTGGTTTTATTTTATTTTACTTTGGTTTTATTTTATTTTACTTTGGTTTTATTTTATTTTACTTTGGTTTTATTTTATTTTACTTTGGTTTTATTTTATTTTACTTTGGTTTTATTTTATTTTACTTTGGTTTTATTTCAATTGATTTTACTTTCACTCTATTTTAAAAATAAAAAAATAAATTGAAAAATAAAAAAAAATGTAAATCAAAATAAAAAAGAAAACAATTTTCTTTCAAAAATGCGGATTTTTCTATTGGCAGTTCTCGGCCACCAAATAGGTGAGTATCTGAGGAATGCTGGGGAGCTTTTTAATAGAATAGAGACCAATTCTGCTCAGGTTGCAGAACTGAAAGAAATGTGTAGTATGTATTTTAACCTGATGTCATTGTTTTTTTTCATCCAGTGTTAATGTCACAACATGGACAATTGGATATGCCATTCCCTATCATGCAAATTTGCTGTTTACAAGGTATGGGGTGGGCTATGGCATTGTCTCTTTGCAGGCTAAAGAGGCCAAACATTCTGGAGTGAAGGAAGATTTGACCTTAACTAACCGGTCAAATGTAAGTACTGCCACTGGTAAATGGTGGCAAGTAATGCGAAGTAATTATGTTCGCTCATTTTACCTCCCAGAACATCAACCAATGCCCTCTTCTTATACCTCACACTACCAATCACGTTCTCCACCACACTGTTACCAATCAAATGTTTGTAATTGTGGTAGAAATAAAGAACGATTTGCTCAGTTGTCAAGTTTGTTTCTCTAGTATTAACCTTGTGACTTGTGCAAGCAGCAGAGGTCTGACAGAATCAGTGTTGTGTGCACTAAAACCTGTTGTCTGTAAACAGTGCAATACTCGCTTTGCTGATAACCTGTCATTATTGTCTCATTTAAAGTTCTGCAATGCCACTGAGGTAAGAAAGGTAGCTATCCAGCCAACTTTGATGACAGTACCTA